AGGAAGGAAGGAAGGGTTGATGTGCGTTGCTGGGGTTGCAAGTGCGGCCTTAATTAGCGAGCGCAATTGCTGACAAGTCATGTTCGCACCCTGCTTTGGCGAAAATGGAAAAATGCGCGCGGACCGGAATCATCATCGCGCGCATTCATCATTTCTTCCGAGCCGACGAGTTTCTGCCCATTTGCCTCCTGCGGCGCGCGCGAAAATTCCGCCAGAGTGGAAAAGTGGCTCCCCGCGAGTGTTGCCACCCCCGAAATATTCACACCACGTCCGTCAAATACTCAAATAATACTCAAATACGCAAATCGGAAGTAATAAATGCTGTTTTTGTCCAAATCATTTTATTTAAAGCGGAATGATTTCTTTTTTCAATTTGATTGAATTTTATTTGTTGATAAACTTATTGGAAATTTTGCGTCAGATTAATTAAAACATGAGTCAATTTTTAAGTTAAGATTCCTGAGACAAATTGTAACTGAAATGCTTGTTATTTCTGAGTTTTTTCTTCAATAAAAGGGAAAAATTGTTTGATTTTGTAACTATGGGCGTGATTTTTTAGCAAAATATAAAAATACAAAACTATAATCTGAAAATTACAGTTCTTATGTAAAATAACACGGGCAACATTTTTTTCATATAAATGCAAAAAGAAGACCATCCGCCAAAGGCGCAAAAGTGGACTTTTTTAATAAAAAAAATCAAATAATCGCTTAAAAGTGAACTTGCCCTTTGACCTGCAGCCTTAGTGTCAGCAGAAAACTTGCTCGGAACAAACAAAATGAGTCTGGAGAAGATATTTTTATTGCTGTAGCATTCGCGGTTGCAGATTTTAACAATTTTTAAAATGCTTCAAAATTTCCTGCAAAAAAACGAGGAATTTGTAACTTTTTTTTTAAATCTTAAATAATTTCAATATTTTTTAGAGACTTTAGCTATAATATTGAAATTTGTCGCTGGCGTGCTTAAGCGATTAATGGTTGTGAACGCGAAACCCCAAAAATGTCGCGTAGGTGGCGGCGGAGGCGAAAGTTTGCAGCACGAAATTTGCCGACGGTGTTTTCCGACACACACATTCCTGCGGCCATCGCTTCCTCCCTCACTCTGCATATCATTACAACCCTCGCTCGCTCCCTGTACATCGAGACAGGAGCAAAAAGTTGCATGGCGGAAGCTGCAATTAATATATAGGGAATCTTTAGTGACAAATTAGTTGCCGAAGCACACTTGGCGGTTTCTTGGGCCGCTTATTTACAGCAATGAGGGATCACCGACTTTTTACACCAAACTTTTCCGCTTCAAGTCAGTTTTCTACTTTAAAAAATTAAGCATTAAAAATTCGCTTAAAATATAAACAAGGACAATTTGAAACGAAATTCTTGTTGTTTGAACTTATTAAATTTATAAAAAAAGTGATTCTGTTTGTTGACCTGTTTCACCTGCAGCTTGTTTTTGACGCCATTGTCGAGGTTGATGCAAAAATGTGGGTGCTAATGGGATTGCCCTCGTCGCTGCTGCAAAAGTGGAAACGTCAACAAAATAACAGTGCAGTCGGCCGAAGAAAAGTGACCTGGAAAAGTGCACTCATCAGCCAAACGATGTAATAACTCTGAAGGATGCGCGCACGACTAATTGCAACCACTGAAGCGTTGCAGTGGAAAATTTTGCATGTAAACAGCAAATAGCTATTTCCACCAAAATAAAAACTTGTTCGAAAACAAGAATTTTAATTTAGCTAGGAAAAAAACATTTTACTCTAATTGAAGAGGATGAAATCACAAATTCCCCCACAAAAAATTGTAGTTAAGGCCATAAAGATCATTTTGATTACCAGAAAATTGGAGGTCCACTCGTAAATTTGTGTAAAAAGTTTGATTGAAAGTTGACAAAACTCGGTTTTTGAAGTTTTCAAGAAAATCAAGCTAATTTTTTAGCACTGAATTAATTGATATCTGCAATCAAATGTCAAGATAATTCTTAAGTTGATTCTTTAACTACTCAATTAATGACACATTTTCAAAATCCAATACAAAGATAAAGAAGGATTTACGAAAACTGCTGCAAAATTAATTTGGGTAATGATTTTTGAATTTTATCGGTGGGTGGGTCAAGCTAAGGAACTAAGGTATCTCTTCTTAATTGTGACCAAGTTGCTAGGTCAAAGGGGACTGACCCTGGCGAAAGGTCAAAATATCAAGTTTTCTGCCCCTTTAAAATAAGGCAACCTGACAAAAAAATCCAAGCCAAAAGATGCGTCACGTCATTTTGCATTTTAGTACAAATTTTCAAAGATTTTAAACAAACCGTTTTAAAGTTATCGTTCTTTTAAAAATGATCTTTTTGGATGATAAAAAATTGATACTTTTTCTACATACATAATTATTTCGGTCAAATTGATTGAATTTAAAATTGTATTCCATTCAAATAAGAGCGATTTTTGAAAAAAACGTTTCATCTAATTTAATAATCATTTCCCTCCGAAAGGAGTGTTTCACAGTTACACTGCATTTCTATAGTTTGGTATCAGAGTGCAGCAGACGGAGGTGGATTGCGAGTGTTTTTCGGAAGGGGTAATCCCGCGTGAATCACGTGCTGTGCGTCCAGCAACAGCGGAGAATTCGCTTTGAATAATAATCGGCGGCGCGCGTTGAATGGCGCCCACGCACCTCGTCACAAAGGCTAATGGGATGGGCAAGCAAGTGGAGCGTGAACTATTTAAATCCTAATGCGATCCGTGTGTACCGATGTTGGTCTGCAATTTCGCGCGCGCGAATCTAATAAATAACCGAGGAGGACAAAAGTTGCGCCAGATGTGTTTGGGCTTATCAGGGGCCGGCGCGGGGATTACATCGAGGGTGTGACTGACTGACTGACTCTCAATCTGGCGCCTAATCAAAATTTGATCCCGGCTTATTTGCGTGCGTCACCCCTCGCAACTCCTACGGCCCGCGGCACCAAAGCCGGAAAATATTGCGGCAAAGTACTCGCAATTCTCGGCCGGCCGAGAGCGGATTATTATTTGTAATCGCCGCACTTCACACCGTGTTCAACTAGCTGCGGTCGAATTTCATTACACCAACAAAATTCAACAAATTTCACGCACATTTCGAGCTGCTTTTTTAAGTGAAAAGGCCGAATTTTTCTTTTCAAAATGACTGAATTGCTTCGTAAGAACATCGATGGAATTATAAAATGACTTGTACAATTGACAATTCTCGAATATCAAAGTTAATGGTTTATAATATTTGAAAAAGAGTTTCTCATTTTAAATTAATCAGATTAAACAAAGTACATCCTTTCTTCATCTAAATGTTAATTTTAAAGTTTAAAAAAATTGAATTATCAGTTTCGCTTTCACTTTATTTTTCATAGCTGTTCTGTTTTGCTTGTGTTGAGAGCCTGTAAAAAAATATTGGAATTGAAAGTTTCCAATAAAAGTGAGTTGTGCGCGATGATTTGTGCTTGAAGGCTGCATTGGCGCACAAACTTGGCAAACACGATAAATCTGGCCGCGGAAATGGCCACTTTTCGAGACGTTATAATATTTCATGGGCTCTTTGTTGTATTTATTACCGCAAAACGAACAGCAAAAATGTTCTCTTTTTTACTGGAGAGAGAGAGAAAGGAAAGAATTCTCTGCTCAACTTACAAAATGTTCCGACGGGGATTAGGAGCGCGCAAGTGCGTAACGCTCATATTTCAAAAGCCAAAGTAAATCCTCGTGAAGAGGTCTTTCTTTTCTTTTGTTTCAAGAGTGCAAAGTGCACGTGCGACGAAAGAAACTCGTAATCCATATTTATAAAAAAAAAGAACGTGCGGCGCCAATTTATATCAAAACAGATTTACGAGGAGCGCACCGTAAAAATTACATAGACCGTCGCCCATACATCAAGTCGTCAAGTTTGAGGGACGCGACATCATCTGCCCATTAATATACAACGCTCGCGACACTCTATCAAAATCCATTGTCGCGTCATAAAAAAATCAGAGGTGGTTAATTTTGGAGACGCTCGAGAGTGCAGAACTTGCAACAGCGCGCATTTTTGCTGCTTTTATTTTTCATCCCTCTCAGCGCGCGCTGCGTAGAGTCTTAAAACACGTCTTAAAACACCCACCACCCAAGCCAATACAGCCGCTCGCTTTTGACCGGCCGCCCCAATAAGATTGTACCACGCGAAAGCACGGAAAAAATTTAACAATAGAGGTGGCCAAAGGGAGGTGCTCAATTTTGGAATAAATAGCGCGGCCTCGCAAGGCTCGCTCTCTTTCTGGGGCCACCCAAGTGAGATATCAATTAATCATATATTCAATTCAGCCATTGACAAAAAATTATATATTTTCAAACACACAATATTATGTAACCATTGCACGAATAACAATGCTATAGTAAATTTTCCTTTTCTCAAATACACATGTATTACCCTAGTTGGTCAATTTGACCATATCTTTGTGTTAAAACTTTCTGCGGCCACCCAAGTGAGATATCAATCAATCATATATTCAGCCATCATATTTTTATTTGTGCTGCAAATTAAAAATAATAAGATTTTCATTTATTTTTGGGTAAATTTTTTATCTTCCTAAATACAAAGTCAATGCAATTTGAGGGAAAACTTGTTTTGCCGAAAACTTCCAAATGTAAATCAAATTTTTCAATAGAAAAAAGGAAATTTTTAATTGTAAAATATTCAGAGATGGAATTTTTCTTCTTTCTTTTTTTTCAAAATTATTGTTCAATTTAACCTCTTTTATAGCTCTGTGGAACAAAAGGATCCATCGCGAAGATTGGCTTATTTGGCGTGAGAGTTTCGGGGAATGTTTCGCTAATAACCGGGAGGTGTGTGCGTGTGTGTGGGAGCGCGCGTGTTTAATTAATGAGCCAATTTGCGCAGTTCAGGTTGGCTCATTTGTCGGTTCCAATTAGGGCGGCTTATTTCCTCTTAAAATTCTTTGATGATTTACGTTTTAATTCATTATATTGAAATATTCAAATTGAAACTCACCGTCCGGCGTACTCGCCCTCGGCGCGGGCGATTTTGGCCGCTTCGCTGAAGACGAAGATGCGCGACGAGCCGCGGTACCATTTGATCGAGTGCAATTCGCCGCACTTGCCAGTGTCGATCTCGCACGGCAGCAGCATCGTGTCGCCCACCAGGCCTGCGATGTCCGCCTGCGTGTTCAAACCTGCAAAAAAACAAACAAAATCTTTAGAAAAACACTTTTTGAAATTATCACAATCAACATTTTTAAACTGAAACTATCCGTTGGTTTTTCTTATGAAATTAATTCTCTCTGTTAAGAAACTCAGAACGAAGATAAATTAAGCGAGTTAAGTTAATGATTATTATGTATTGTGGAAAAAATGGAGAGATGGCGCTCCTGAGGAGCTGGGCTTTCAGAATCTATTCAGATTTTTAAAATTGGACCAACGGTTAACCCTTTGGCGTGCAAGTTCGCAAAGTAATTATTAGCCACCCTTTGAAAACGACACGTCAATTCGGGCGACGATTTGAATTAGACTCCAAATATAAAAACGACGACTGCTATTTGAAAGAAGTCGTCGTTTGCAATTGGCGTCGTTCTTACAGAATCAGACCCCCAGGTAAAATAAGAAATGATCAGATGTCCAAATTCAACTTTTATTCCATTTTAAAAAAAGAAGTGGCAAAAATTTAAAATTGATTGAAAAGGAAATTTAAAAAAAAACCTTAACATATTGGTTGAAATGATGTTTTTAAATCCACCAATAGTTGATTTGTCATCAAATACATATATATTATTGAGTAACCTCAATTAAAACATAAAAATTGCACAAATTTTGGCTTCAATTACTACTTATTAGGATAAATTGGGTGATCAGTGTTTTTCCCATAATTTGATCAAACAGTTTATTTCTGGATCTTTTCATGGAATTGAGAATTCCTCATTAATTACCATTATCTGCTCGAAAATCGGATAAATAATTGGCAGAATGTTTCATAATTCAAAAACAATGATTAAGTGATTAAGCAACGGCTTGATTAGCGCCGGAGAGAATCTTGTGTGTGTGAAAACAACACGCCAAGATGAAAACAAAGGAGGATCTCGAGTATATATTCAGAATTTAAGCACTCGTTAGCCGACGTGTTAGGTTTTATGAATTGAAGAAGCACTGCAGATGAAAGCAAATTACGCTTCGCAGCTTCAAAGCGAGAGACGAGACGGAAAAAGGGCCACTGAAACACACACACGCGACTTGCGCCTTTTCCACACACAAAGAGCGTCAGAAAGAGAGGCGCAGGTGCCTCAAAATCATCTCCCTAATGCGATTTTCAGTGCTGGCCTCCCTGATGCTTGAACAAAAAACGGAAGAGAGGTTTTAACTAGAGAAAACTTTCGGAGATAAGAAGATGTTCCGAAATTAGAGGTAAAAAGTTCATAATTATATAATTTTACCTTCGTCCTAATAAAAATTGGAAAGAAATTTTAAATATTAATAATTATAAAAAATTGTCAGTTATAATCTTCAAACAAGGGCAACACATGAAATTGCAAAATAATTGACATAAGAATTAAGCAGAATTTGAAAATTTATCAAAATATATGGCCAACTGCACAATTTTTACTTGTGACGATTGGATTTGAACTTAACCTGAAATTTAGTGAGTTATGAAAATTCAAAATTTGCAAATATTTTGCTGTTATTTTTATCTGAATTTTATTCAGTTTTGACTTGATTTGTGAATAATAAACAACAATTATAATAGTTAGAAGCGAAAAATGAAGTTCAAATAATGAAAACTATGAAATTTTTGAAGGAAATAATGTTGCCATTTCATTAATCAAAAATTTATTTGAAACCAACTGTAAGATTGAATGCATATTTGGTGTTATTAACAAGGATCTTACAATATCTAGAAGTTAAAACTTCTGAACCTTTTCTCAATATGCAAATTTATGATATCAATTGACCCATTGATTTTATTATTCCATATTTCATCTTAATTGGGGTGATATTTAGGTGACTTGTTGAAATTTTTATCAGTTTTGGTCGGGCATATTTAGAGAAGAAAATTCCCCTAAGAAACAATGTTTTAAAAATTCAGTTCTCCAAATGACTTAAATTTTTTTCTTACTACGTCTCCTTGAACTGAAATTTACAAACCAATGCTAATGTAGAGAAAAATTTCCATGGAAATTCATCGGGCCGTTTTTTTCCAAACAAATTTACAATTTAAAATGACGTGATTATTTCATTTCTAGTTACGTTTTATTTTACTTTTGATGATTTTGGCAAGGTGAAGCTTGCGATGGAAATAATTTACAGGTGCGATGATTTATTTACTCGGGATTCCGGAATTAGTGTTTTGTTGTTTGTGCTGCGCGTCTTTTATTAATTCGGCACACATCCGCGCGCGCGCTAACTCGATCAAACGCGACGAGTTAATTGTAATTGAGTTTGCTGGGCTCCCCGGAGACGTACGGCCGGAAACACACAAAGTTGTTGCTCGCGCCGCACTTTTGAGAAGGCCCAATCAAGCTGCAACCCTTTGAGAACAACAACCTTTGGCAAAAAATGAAAGTTTTTGCCGAGCAAACAAACAAACAAGGAGAATAAACAGACGCCGCAAAAGCCAATCAATTACATGCGGCTTTTCTCTCTTTTCTCTCTCGTCGGGGAATAATTAGCGCTTCGATTGGTGCTTCAAACTCGAGTGCGGCGCTGCCCGATTGCTCCTTTTTAATTATATGAAAATAATCAAGTGCGGGAGAGAGAAAAAAGTGGAATGTGTTTTCAAATACAGAGGTTAACAGATTTTTCTGCGGGTAAACAAATTGCCTGGGATTCGAAAAAAAGAAAAAGATATTAGTTCATTTTAATTCTGTTGGAAATAAAATTCAACAAAAATTCTGTAAATACAGAAGGCTAAAAAAAGCCTTTTAATTTTGTATTTAGTAAATTAACATTGCTATGATTTTTTTTTTTAAATTTAATCTACAACTTTATTAGAAAAAATATAAGACCATGCAAGTATTGATAGAAAAATTTGTAAAAAAAAATTAATTTTCTTTTAATTCCCTCCAAATTTCATCCTGGGTTAAATGCTTGCAAATAATCTCATGCTGTATCAAAATATGTAACTAAAATTACAAATATTTAAAAATTCCAGTAAAGACCCCAAACTTTTTTGTAAAAATTGCATAATTTCTTATAAACGATTTAATTTTATCAAAAAAAATCCTGTTTTTATACCAGTCTTCTCTAAAAATTAAGTCGCCATGAATGAATATTTAAATATAATAATTGCAAGAAGTTTTATTTTAATTTATTAAGAATTAAAAAATATTCATTAAAAATGCTTTTATGAGACTTTCTTTACTTGTTCTGGGAATTTTGTTGAAAAAAATCCTTAAACCTATATGAATTTGCAATAAGGGGTGCTGAACTTTCTCTCCCCGTTCACGTGCCACACACACACGCTACTAATGACGCCCTCTTTTGTGACTGAGGAGGCACCTCTGGCGCGAGAATCGGAAGCGAATTGGAATTTCAGCGGCAAGGGTGGCATCACAAGGTGCGCGTCCTTTTCAATACATGCAAATCGACCCCTCGTTTTTCGATCCATTCTCGGTTGAGCCGCTGCACGTGGAATTTCATATAATATTTACAAAAGTTTAGTGCACCCTTTTCCTCGCGGCCAAATATTAAGTCCCCCCCCCCTGCAGTTCGGGGAAGGCAAATGATGCGCGGCGATGACCTTTACGGCCCAAAAATAAATGGCAAACGTGGCTCGTTCGAGCGTCAAATATGAAATTTATGCCTGCGCGGCGCACCAAAAAGTTGCAGGTTCCTTTCAAAACTTTGCACGCGCCACCAATTCCGTTTCCTGCTGTTGCTTCCTCACAAGAAAAAGTTATCGATTTCGTTTGAAGATCAATTTTTTGTAAGCACAAATTTTAAATATTCCAATAATTAGAAACTAAAAATTTACCGATGAGATCAAATAAATGTTTCGATCAAATAGTTAATTTATTTTTATTTTAATTCGCTCCAAAGTTTATTCTGTTGATGGAACTTTGCTTATTGTGAAATGCTGATTGAAAATCTGTTCAAGGAAAAACACCTTTATTGAACTTCAGTTCTAATTAAAGACGCATTTTTATGTACTTTTGAAAATTTCAATAATTTATCAATTTTAGAACTAAAAGAGTTATTTTTTTGCTCCAATGAATATGAAATTTTTAATCTCTGCATTATTAGGAAATGTTGGTAGCAGAGAATCATGATGAATTACTAAAACACTGCAGGCTGCAAGTTTTTCTGTTGCCAAAGAGAAAAACAGACAGAATTGGCGACGCAGACAAAGTATTGATAAAACTTTTATCACACAGACGCTGACTTTTGAACGTGCAAAGAATAACGCGGCGAAAAAGTGAATGAAACGAGCGAGTCTATTTATATAAAAGCCGCCGGTTTTTCCTTCTTTTGTGCGCGATAGTCCATCACTGTCTGCTCTTTTTGAGCCACTTTCCTCTGCTGGAAAAACCGCCGCCGCCGCCGCCGCCAAATTCAGCGGCCACGAAATCGCAACTTTTGTAATTAAACTTTGCAAAGAGAGTTTAACCCTTTGTTTTCAAGCGCACCTTTGATGAAATTAGGAAAAATCATGCTCAAAGTTTTGATAAAAGGATAGATTAAAATTTCCTTTATGTGAAGGAATAAATTGATTATTTGCAAATTTTATATTAATTTCTTAAAGTAGATGAAACCTTCTGCAAAATGTTTTTCAAATCCTTCAAATTTTAATGGAATACAATAAAACATACTAAATTTGTTTCAAATATGACGAAAAAAGTATCATTTTCTAATTTTTAACTCATCCGAACGGAATATTTTCAGTCGTTCGGACCCTGTTTATAACTCAATAATATTTTCTAAACGGCTTGTTCAAACATTTTGAAAATTTGTATTCGGATGCAAAATGACACGGCGCATCTAATGGCTATCTTGGATTTTTTGTCCGGTTGCCTATTTTCAAGGGGCATAAAACTTTATATTTTGACCTTTGACCTAGAAACTTGCTGACCATTGAGAAAAGATACCTTGGTTCATTAACTCCAACTTCCTTTCAAGGAAATTAAAAAATCTTCACCCAAATTAATTTGGCAGCAGTTTTAATAAACCCTTATGTTTCTCCGGCGGC